GAGATTGATTTAATTAGTATAGGGTAGAGGTCATGCCTCTCTACTTTCTAAAAACTCTCTAAGAGAGTTCAGTGTATCTGAGGCACAGAGTATTAGCTCTAACAAGGTATAATAGAAGAGAACCCTTCATGAAAGAGAAATCATCCGAACTGGGAGAGTAAGAATAAACAAACGATAACCAAGCGAAGATGACAAGGATGGAAGGAAAATGTTTCAGAATACAGAGCAGCAAAAGATAAGGCAGAGATGTACAAAAGATATTCACACTCCCAGTTAACATTTATTGAGGCCCTACTATGTGTCAGGCACTGTGCTAAGGCTTAACATGCAGTAGCTCCTTTGTCCACACAATTTCTTTAAAAGAGTACACAATATTATTAACCTTGTTTTATAAAGGAGAACCTGAGATCTACAGAGGTCACACAGCTAGCAAGTTGTAGCTGACAGCAGAACCCTTAAAAACTACTTACCATGTCTCAACAAAGGTGCATTGTTCAGGAATAACAAGATGGCTGGTATGACCAGAGTACATGTAAAACAGTGAAATAAAAATTCAAAGGCAGACTGCCTAATCCTTGTTCATTTAACATCTGCTTTCTTTCAGTACTCATCTTTCCCAATAAGTCTTTCCTGACTGACATTACCTAACCCTTCTCACTAATCTGCCTTCCTTCTTATAATTGTGAGATATAGAAAAAATGTATATACGTTAGATCTTAACTTTGAAAAATTTATAGTGTAGACCTTCACTTTCAGGTAGGATGTGGGATACTACAGCAGGCTGACACTCCCACTATAACTGGAAAAAAAATGCATAAATTGAAGTCACTTTGCTACAGGCAGCGGGTAGCTGTGGAAGCAATGAGCACTCCATGAACTACAGTTCCAGAGGGAGAGTCCTGAGGCGAGCTGGTGATTTGTGGCTATTTTCTTCCCTGAGCTCACTTGCTATTCAGGCTGAGGATCCAGTGTACTACAGACAGGGAGATTTTACTAGGGGTAAGAGAAATGAGAAAAGTTTCTGGTGGTTTCCTTGGGGCTAGCTTGGTGGACTGGAAACTAGAAAAACTGAAAACACAGGTCCCCCCCCGCCACAGGACATTTGCTGCGTTCTGGGGCAGTGCGGAAGCTGGGTGGAAAGGTAGGGAAATCGCCCAGAGTTGCACAGATCTTAAGAGATAAAGTCCCATGAAAGAAGGGGAAAACAAACATTTCTACTACAAGACATTTGCCATATTTTAAAGCTATGTGGGGCAGGAGACTAAAGCTAACACAGTAGCCCCCAGCCATATTTAATTATCGAGCAGTTAAAATATGACTAGTCTGAACTGAGGTGTGTTTTAAGTATAAAATACGATTTCAAAGACTTGCTGCAAAAAACCCCCCAAAAAACAACAAAAGGGAGTAAAAGATCTTATTAATATGCTTTACACTGATATGTTTGGGGTTAAATAAGACAGTTAAAATTAATTCCATCTATTTCTTTCTAATTTACTTAATGTACAGTCCCCTTTAACATTATAAAGTGTCCACCATTGTCTTGTTACCATTTTTGTCTTAGGATCTATTTTGTTTGATACAAGTACAGCTACACCTACTTTTCTCTGGATGCTCTTTGGAGTATTCTCTTCCAGCCCTTTATTTTTCTGCTTTACTTAATGTAACTATTACAAAACTTTCCATTACATATGGGGCTTATATTATATTTCTATCAGGCAGTGCTGCTATCCAGCAACCAATAAAAAAAAAGGCAGCAAAAGGGTGTGTATAGTCAAAAACCCAACATATAAATTAAAATGAAATTTAATATAGTATTTATTCTTGATAACTGACCTTGGCCTATTTTATCTAAGATAAACCCTAAAAAAGGATCCTGGTGAATTCAGGATTAAACCATGGGGGTCACACACAAAATTTGGATTTTCTCCACCCTTTTTGGGGGAGGAAAGATAGAACAAATGCTGTATGTGAAGCACGGCTGGGCACTTTAGACTATTTTGTCACATTTAAGTGCAAAACAACTCTGCTAACAACCATGTTAACTTATGATCTGCGTGGTCAGAAATACTCCAATTGTGTCCACATCAGCCCATTTTCTTCTTCAACAACAGGCCCAGATGTACCTACATTCTGTCTCTCTCACATCTACTCTCCATGTAGTCCTACCCACCTATGGTACTGGCACCAACTCCACAGCCCTAACCTCATCCCCAACACAAAGTATACTACATGAGCCAGAGCTAGATTAGTGAGGGTCAGGAGACTGATACTAACGCACTGGGATTTTATGTAGTCTAACATGTTTATAAGTAAGCAGTTTCATGTAAGTACTGCCTACTGCTCAGGGCTATTGGGAAAGCATTGTATAAACCAATATAAATACGTAATTATTAGCACCGAAAGGCCCTTTAAATAACCATGTTGTAGTATCAGCCATTACTGATAAACTGAGCCAGGCATGCCCATTTCAATCTAAAATGAACTTTGGGGACAACGAAGAGAGATATTATAACTACAAATCATTTTCCCTTATATAAATAAGTGCTGAAATCAAGTTCAAGTAAGAGGCTTCAAATATCATAGTTGCCTGCAAAAAAAGGAATGTACATGACAGGAAGAGTCACCACAAAAGTTACCATACAAACTTAAATTAAAATCTCCAAGCCTGGCCGGGCATGGCTCAGCAGTTGAGCATCGACCTAGGATCCAGGAGATCGGGGTTCGATTCCTGGTCAGGGCACATGCCCAGGTTGTGGGCTACGCAGCCAATCAATGACTCTCATCATTAATGTTTCTATCTCTCTCTCTTCCCCTCTTTTCCTCTCTCTGAAATCAATAAAGATATGTTTAAAAAAAATAAAAAATAAAAAAATCTCCAAGGCAGAGTCCCTGAAGCCTGAGACCCCAACAACAGCATCAGAATCACCAGGAAACTTACCTGGAAATTCATAGAGGGGAAGGGGACTCAGCATTTCTTTTTTTTTAAAACAAGTTCTCCCATAATTCTGAAGTAGGCTGAAGTTTGAGAACCACTGCTCTAAGAAGATGGGGACTAGATTTCTTTCACTTGCTTCAAATATGCTTGTGTGTAGATGTACAAGACAAACACATGTGGGTAAACTCTCAAAAGCAAATGACAGCTCCCACTGTCTTACCTTTAGACATGATTGAAATATTTCCAATATAAGATAAAAACATATTTACCGAGGGCTTTTCCTGATGCAATTCTTGTCAAAAACTGACATATGTATATAGTTCTCAATTGATAAGATGTTAGACTGGATAATCCATGAATAATAGCTGAAAAAGAAGCAAATTTTATTAAAACATTAAAAATCAACAACCTTGACCCAGCAGTGCCTATGCGGTTTATTGTGAAAACAGGTTATAAACATCACACAAAAATTACCATAAATTTACAGCTTTATGCTTTTATTTATAGGCAATTTTTAAAATGTCAGAACAGGCCCGGCCGGGCGTGGCTCAGTGGTTAAGCATCGACCTAGGATCCAGGCGATCGGAGTTCGATTCCCCGTCAGGGCACATGCCCGGGTTGCGGGCTGCAGCCGATCAATGACTCTCTCATCATTGATGTTTCTGTCTCTCTCTCTCCCTCTCCTTTCCTCTCTCTGAAATCAATAAAGACATATTAAAAAAAAAAA